TGGAATCTTGCTTCCCGTGACCTGTTTTAATAATAATTAGTAATAAGTAATAGTTTTAGTATACAATGATCGATATTGCAAGGAAAAGACTAGACAAATAGAGAAAATAAACTAGTACAATGTAAATTCACGTTTCAACAATCTAGTACTTGACAATATTTCAATAACCAACTAATGTTGCTTATTCTCACCATTTTGTTGATAATACTTGGAGTTGTGAGTCCATCGAAATCCCGTGCACAATCCAAAGTCTGTCAACTTGATGTGCCCATCTCGATCTATCAAGATGTTATCAGGTTTAATGTCTCTATGAATGAAACCCATCTTGTGAACACTTTCTACCGCGCACGTCAGCTCAGCAATGTAAAATCTCGCCAATGGTTCCTTGAATATCCCAAACTTGATCAGCAGCGACATCAGATCACCACCAGGTATATAATCCATTACAAAATACAGATTGTCTTTATCTTGAAATGAATAATAGAGCTTCACTACCCATTCGTTATCAGCCTCCGCCAATATGTCTCTTTCAGCTTTAACGTGAGCTACCTGATTACGATTCAGTACGTCTGCTTTCCTCAGAGTCTTCATGGCGTAAAATTGATTGGTATCGAGCTTCCTGACCAACGTTACCTCACCAAACGCGCCCACTCCGATAGGCTTTATTTTCGTGAACATTGACTTATCCATCTTTGCTCGTTTCAGTCTGATGTAGTTCGATTCCTTCTGCGACAACATTTTTCTCATTTGACACTGGGCTTCTGCACTAAGCCCAATCTTTGCCATCTCTGTTTCCAGCTGAAGTCGACGGTACAGCCGTTGCTTGTGAGACTTCAACACATTTTCAACATGCTGTTCCATGAAGAATTTAAACGCCTGAGGAGAGTAATTACGTACTTTGCAGTCTCTACGCTCCTCCTCTTTCTCTTTGCTCATGTGTTTCCTTTCAGGTATCGGTGACTGATGCTTGATCTTGTAAGACGAGGGCGAACCTCCTCCCTTAGCCCCGTTGCTATCTGGTGCATGGTTATTATTGTTATTGTTATTACTGCTACTATTGCTTCCACCGTTACTGCTGCTGTTGTTGTTATTATTATTATTATTATTCCTCGAGGTTACAGAAGTCGATGTTACCGGAGGTAGAGGCGGTGTTTCTATAGGATGCTGACAATTCTCAGCAGGTGAGTATTTTCTTTGCAACGGAGGGTGCAGCGCGACAGGAGACGACCTGAGGTTCGTGCTGTTCTCCACCGTTGATATCACGCTGGAATCGTCGGTAGTTGGCGTCCCATACGGTGGAGGAGGAAGTGGATGATGCAAACCACGTTGCGCAGCTAACGCTTGCATCGTAGTCGCGTAACTTGGCGGCTCTGTGGTAGGTACCCCTACTGAGACACCTACGTTTATGTTATTCGTGGACGTGCTACCAACGTTGTTCACCGGTGGATACGCAGGCGGTGGTTGTTGCTGCGAGGACTGTTGTTGCTGTTGCTGTTGCGACTGTTGCGGCTGTTGCTGCTGCGGTTGCTGTTGCTTTTGTTGAATAGAGGACGCGTAAGAAGGTGGAGGTGGAGGCGTATTGCTGGTGGTCGAGATGGGCTGAGGAGAAGTCGGTGCAATAGCAGTCTGCAAGACGGGTTTCTGAACTTGTGTGCTCTTGACGGATTGCATGATTATCGGTGGCTGGGTTTTCGCCTGTCGCGCGCCCCAAGCTTGCAGAGGGGTTGGTCTGGCCATGGATGCTTGAGTGCTCGGTGATATGGCAGAAACTGTGATGGGACTCGGTGAGCCAGCCGATGTAGGCCCAGAATATATACCAGAGGAAGGACTTTTTCGATAATCTTGCTGAGACTGCGTAGGACTCTGCCTGCTTTGTATAGAAACGCTATACGATGGTGGTTGCACCGGACCTGCCGACGAAGACGAGACTATGGGGTACGGGGGTGGCGGTTCAACTTGAGTATTAGAAGTGTTGTTGCTCGTTTGGTATATGCTGAGGGCCTGCATTTGCTGTGAGAGCTGTTGCTGAACTTGAGGCCCGTTTTGAACGATCATAGGCTGACGGCTGTTTGAATTGTTATTCGAACTCGCCACAGGACTTGTACCCCGTTGCGGCAAGTTGACAGACGTTGATATAGGTCCTGTATTGCCAGGTGCTGTGGGTGGCGGTCGTGTAGGAACGACTGGAGCAGGAGACATGCGCTTAAGCATTTGCTGCATGTTGGTAGGTACGTTCGGTTGGTTATACGGAGCGTGAGGTGGCGGCGGTGGAGGTGGCGTGGAGCTGCATCGAGGTGGCGGAGGAGGTGGTGGTTCTCGTTCTACGAAATTGCTCGGAGAATATTGTCGACTCAGCTGTGGATGAGGACTGAGCTCCGTCAAACGGGGACTATCGGATCGCGAACTTCCTGCTCCGCTATCCAGCGCAGGACTACCGCGTTGTAAACTCAACTCTCGCTCTAAACTAGGTTTCCTTATGAGCTTGGTATTAAGTTTACCAAGACCGTTCAGAGATTCGCCTTGGGCTTGTTTTAAAAACTCTATAGCGGCATCCAGACGCCAACCAGCCAACTTCAGGGCCCGCAGTGCAATTTCCTGGGTGTTGGACATTTTTAAAAATGTGTTAAAAATGTCTTCTTGATAAATAAAAATCGATTATATATGTTCATCAACTTTTTAAACTCTACATACCTCCGAATATCCCATGGCTAATAACTGTGCCAATAATTGTCGTTGATCAGATTTATCGATAGTTGAACCAGAAGCACCCGAGAGACCACTGAGTCCAGAGGCAGAACTTATCCCACTGGTTGTGGATAAAGTAGATATAGTACTGGCAGCACTGGAACCCACTTCACCTGCTCCTCCGATATTTGCAAAAGGCAGCAGAGAATTGCGAATTTCAGCTAGGGCCTTTTGATGGTATCCAGAGCCACGAGTGCTCGATTTACTAACCGCGGGTGGATTCATAGTGGCCCATGCTAGGTCCTCTGAGACCTAGCTTTAATCCAGCTGTGACACATATATATCCATATATACGTACATATATAAATTTTAAATGTAACGTTGCTTTCTCATTTCATTATGAGAATTCTACGATACATTTGTACAGTGCTTTGTACACGTACATGTGTTTGAGTATTTTAATAATAATATTCTACATCGAGTAAAGTTACAGAGTAACAATCGTATCAATGTATTCGTGAAATATAGTAAATACTATACAAAATGTCTTGTTACAAGTTAAAGAAATATATCAATGCAATGCTTACGGATCTAGCTTGATGCTAACAAGCTTTAGCGTAGACTTTTCGTAGTGTCATTGCAGCAGTAGTGTAATATGCCACGCACAACAAACACGTTGATCTGGTATACGAGTGACAGCAGGCATTGCTAATTCTAATACTACTTCCGTTCCAAATATTCGTAACTACATGCAGTAAGAAATCTATGTTGATATTAGTGAGCCGATGGACACCAAGATATGATATTCGTTATGCTAGAAGTCTTGGTTGTAGCATAAATTTGTTTTGTTCGTTCATCCATAATTTCGTATATATACATACATATATGCGTGTACATACATATATGTGTATATATATATATATAAATATATATATATATATATATACAGACATACATACATACATATATGTGTGTATATATATATATATATATATGTATTATTCGGAAGCTCGTAGTATAGAATAAAAAAGATTCGTATATAATCTCACAAATTCCGTATCTTTGATGGACATGATGTTCAGATCGATCAGAAATCTAACCTATTCGTTAGATATGCAAAGGATCGATCCAGAAAGTCCTTTATATGATGAATAAGCTACAATAACACACTTTCTTCGTAGACGAGGAGGCATTGGCTGATAAATGTCTTGAAATAAGTTCGATCGAAGTAGCAATCAGGAGAGAACGACTTGAGAGCATATTCTATTATCACGTTTACCCAGAACCCATGTGACGAGGGTAACGTGTACGTAAAACTTTCGATCCACTATTTTTCTTTCAAATCAATTCTGCGATACTCCGATACACAATCGTAATTACATCAGCAACAACAAAGAAAGATACAGCCGTAAATTACTAAAGTAACTGGCAGCCATTTTGAAGTGCCACATTCCTACACCGACTTGACACTCTTTTTCGTAATTTACGGTGTACATACACGAAGCTCGTGCGCGAAAAAACAAATTGATCTTCGTAATTAACGTTGTCTTACGCTCGATAGACAATATTTGTCATTTATCGAGAAAGATAGATGGCGATTTTCAAAAAGCTATATTTAAAAGATCGATCGAATGAGCATTTCTTCAGCGATTTGCAACTACCTCTTCATGCCAAATGGATGTCAACATTATACCAATCGTTTCTATTCTCTATGTTTAATCAACATTTAAACTAGTATTCAATTAAAATTACTTTTAAATGTTAAGAATCTCTTCTTAGGTATTCGTTACATCTATCAATTTCCTCATCATAATTTAGGAATGTCGAGACAATAAAAAAAAAAAACAAGTAAAAAAATAACTTTTGGTAGTTGGAACAATACTTCCAGGTTCCTTTCCTTTCAGCTTTCAACCCTTACCATTAAACCATTGAACCATTAAACCAATGCGATCGGTCAAGTTATTTTCGTCGAGTTCATTTTTAGGGCTAACACGCTTCGAGTTTAACAGAAATGTAAAATTACTAAAGTAACCCTCTGGCTCCAATCAATGTGTATGCCTATGTTGTAAGTTCTGTCTCTAAAAGTTTCCTTGAAACACGTGCATCGACAAATTCTGCTAGAAGGAATTACTGAAAATCTGTAATTTATCCATAAATCATCCAATCATAGACATGTATATTTATATGCACCGCATATTTTCTGCTATTCAAGGGGCCTACGCCAAATGCATCCTCTTTCTCAAAAAGTTTTTATTGTTGTTGTTGCACAACTGAAACGTTAGATGGCTTTAGCATCGTATCCAATACCTAACCTCTAACTGTATACATTGTAAAACTAACAAAGCCAAGACAATCTATATAACCTCTATACGACTTGCGTTCTGTCAATTGTTAACTGTGCATTTCAATTCTGAAATATTATTATGAATCCAAAGAATATGTAGCAAGTACAAGTATGAATCACAAGGTAAACAATTTTTATTCCATTTTAATATGCAAAGAATTCCCTCTTATAATAATATGTATCTGCTCAAATGTACATGTTTTATTGAAAATAACAGAATAAAGTTTAGTACCTTCTCTTAAGAATTAATGCTTTTGCATTGTTGAATGAATTGAAATAATGGACATTCATCTATCAATGAATCTCTGACATACGAAGAAACCATCGTCATGGTAGCCCATGTTATGTGTTTGACTTCTTCTGGTGGAATTCCATTATTTTCTCGACAGAAAGGTGAAGGTGATTCGGTAGGTCAGTTTATTTAACAAACCTAATACCCAACTTTTTACAAATATCTCTTATCTTCTACTTTTCTTACTTCTAGATGACATTTTCTAAGATAGCATCTTTAAATGGAGTACACATGTTTCTCAAGTCACAGGACATTAAACTCTTGTGTACAGACTTACCTGACACTACCATAATGTGGAAAGAGTTTGAAAGAAGCATTACTTTAATAGCTATTGCCAATGGGACCACGAAATACATTTTAAATAAATTTCTTGATGCTATTTTTGGTGCTATGATTTTATTTGTTGGTATTGATGAAATAAAAAGTGCAAAAAATATTGAAAAGCTTAAGAAAGACATGCGTTTGTGTAGTCCAATTGTTGACAATTTATTGCAATGTCTCGATGCTGGAGATGGGATTTCTTTGAAAACTGATATTGTCAATATGACAGAATGCATTATGTGTGATGAAAACAATTTACTTCAGGTAATCTGGATTTTTGTCATTACAAAATCTTCTGTATATTAAATAATAATATATTTAAGACTTGTTTAGAGGGTTACGTGGAATGTTTGGATTCCATTTATGGATGTATTTTGATACATGGCTGCCTAGCAGTTGCTACAGAAGGCTGGTGGAGTTTACATCCTATCGAAAGGAAATTATTAATAATAGCTGTTACTGTAGAAGGTGTCTGTACTACCCGCGATATTCCTGTATTTCTTCCTTATAAGAGTCCAAATGTAAGTATATTTGAGAAAGGATATAAGTCAATAAATTGACCATGCCGATATATAAATGGGAGACTGTGTAGGTGGCTTTCAGACTAGTGTCTGTTGCATTGATCAATCACATCGAAGTGCTTGCATTGTGTGGACCAAATCCTGAATTATCAGAAATTGAGAGGTTTGCTGTACAATGCTGGAAGAGTAGCATCGATGCTTTGCATAGTGCTGAACAGTGCTATCCAAGGAATTTACCAATGTCTATAAATTTGGATTCGGAAACACTCGGGTAATCTACCCAAGTATTTTATTTACATATTTTCATGAAGAATTTCATGCTAAGTAATACATTGCCAACATGTTTTTTCCACATTTGGTTAGATTTCTTTTGGCAAACTATAAGGTGCAGAAATTCGTACTCGGCAGGAATACACAGTATACAAAAAACAGAGCCAGTGGGTCGCACAGATTAGATATATTAAGAACTTTTTATCACCAAGCCGTCGAAACCTTTATATCATCTCCTGCATCCGAAGGTGGAACAAACACCGACAGTTCGGAGTTTGTTGGTGCAAAAGAAATATATTTATGTTCTGAATACCACAAATGTCATGCAGTTAGGTATGGAGATCATATCCTTTGTATTTTATACGCATCCGTAGTGCCTACTCATACTATGAGATTGATTTGTCAGAAAATATTGAAAATGTTACTCGTTGATAAGTAAGGTAAAAATTTAGTGCCTAAGACTTTTTGTATTCGAACTACTGTTTTTATGCTACTTTGTATTTTTATACTACACAATCACAGATGATTGCAATTATCGAAAATGAATAAATACTAAGGCGTTATCTAAAAATTTCCAATTCCCTTTCAAATTCCAAGTTTCTAGTGAAAGCAGTTCCTACTGTTTCTGCAAGATGGCGCCATCAATACCAATAATTTTTTTCCATAAATGCATAAATATTACGATTCTTTGGTTTATAACGCTACAATATACTATTGGAATATATTGCTTAAACATTTATCTTAATAATTATTTAATATAGCAATAAGTAATCAAGTCTTTAGTTAGTGGCGCCATCTAGTAGAAGTAATGAAAACTATTTTCACTACAAACTTGGGCGTTTTACCACCGATGGCGCCACTAGTACTAAAACCGGTAAAACCTGCTTAGTGAGCGGTAGCCATTCTGGATGCATTTAGATGAACCTAGGATGCATCCATTGATAAAAAAAAAAATGGTAAAAAACGAAAACGTATAGACACAATGTTGTACAATGTTTATGTATCGAAAGTTTGAGAATCACAAGAGTAGTTTTAACCTATAATTAATTAAAATGAAATATTAACAAGAGAATTCTTGCCGTATACCGTAAACAATATAATGTATTTAACTGTATTATCCAAGTAAAACTATTCTAGCATTATGAAGTATGTATATAATATTTGTAAATTGTGACTAGTCGATTGCACGTTAATTTTTATTAACACACGTTTGTAAAACAGCACTTAATAACCCAAACATGAGCAGTACAACCAAAATGGCGGGTGATACAAAATTATACGATATCACAGATTTTTACATAGGTTTAGGATTAACAATTAGTTCCAGCGGTTTTATAGGTTAGTTAGCGCTTGAATTTTTCTAATGAATATAATCTTAATAATTTTCATAATCTTAATTATTTCCTGGTTTTATATTATATTTACTCAGGTGCCAGTTTTATTATTAAGAAAAAAGCATTGATACGTCTCCAAAGATATGGTGGGTTACGAGCTTCATCTGGAGGATTCGGATACTTAAAAGAATGGATATGGTGGGCTGGTCTTCTTTCAAGTAAGCCAAAAGTGTTTGCATATCATAAATCTATTTATGCATATATATTTTTGAATTTGCTACGTCGTTAATGATCAAATTAAAGTGGGAATAGGAGAAGCAGCAAATTTTGCAGCTTATGCTTTTGCACCAGCTTCGTTGGTTACGCCGTTAGGAGCACTCAGTGTTCTAGTATCTGCAGTATTAGCATCAAAGTACCTGAATGAAAAACTTAATTTACTAGGAAAGGTAATATTAAATTGTATATCATACCGTACAATTTTTATATAGAAATTATTTAGAAATTGTATATACAAACGTTTTTCTTCCAGATTGGTTGCTTTTTATGCATTGTAGGTTCTACTACTCTTGTACTTCATGCCCCAAAAGAGGAAGAAATTAGTACACTAAACGAACTTTTAGATAAAGTCAAGGATACAGGATATGTTGTCTATGTTTTAATAGTAATAATATACAGTCTTTTAATAATTTTTCATTTTGGTCCTGCTTATGGAAAGCAAAATATTATTGTATACATCAGTCTGTGTTCATCTATCGGTTCTTTAACAGTTATGAGTTGTAAGGGATTAGGATTGGCCTTAAAAGAAACCATCAACGGAATCAGTAACGGATTTGCAAACTGGTTAACATGGATTTTTTTATTTAGCGTCATACTTTGCGTGAGCGTCCAAATGAATTATTTAAATAGATCATTGGACTTGTTTGAAACTACAATTGTGACACCAATTTACTATGTATGTTTCACAACATTAGTAATAATCGCATCTGCCATACTATTCAGAGAATGGAAAAGTATGAATGCGGAAGATACTATTGGTTCGTTGTGTGGTTTTCTCACTGTGATAATAGCAATATTTTTATTGAACGCATTCAAAGAATTAGACATTAATTATGGCAATATAAAACATATGTTGCGACCTAAACGGGAATTACTTTTAAGTAACAATACTCAGTGGTCTAGTAGGGATGACGAAAGATTGATAACAAGACTAGAAACAGAATTAGATCATAACTATGGAGCTCAAGCTTTAACAAGAAGTGTGTAGCAATTGTGTTTCAAATATTTATTGTGCAATAAAATAAACTTAGTAGGGTACATCTGATATTATGTTATCGATACGTTAATTTATAAATGTGAAAAAATTATGTAATTATATGTAAATCCTAAGGAATTTTCTTCTACTCATTCCTCTTTATTTATTTCATTTCATTTATATCCTTTTATTTTATTTTTTTTTTTATATTCTGTGTTTATTTATAAAAACAATTGAGAAATAAATTTACAATACAGGCGTACGTTTCGTACGGTTGCGAATAAATTACAATGTTACTACCCGTTTAAAGTAAGAAACAAGTATCAAAGTACACGTACGACAATCTCATCATTGATAGCAAGAAAACGTAAGTCGAATAACATTATAAACAGCTTGGTCATATATTAACTCATATAAAGGATGAGACGTTTGATTCGTACATGAATCTATATATTCACACAACCGTTAAAGTATTCAGTGACGTCGTGTATGATAACAATGGCGTTCAACTTCGCCGCTTTTTCATACGGTGTGGCTTTAATTGTAGATGCTTTCTTAATATTCTTTGTAATATTTCATGTACGTGTCATTTGTAAACAATAATAATTTTTTCAATGCAATACATGCGTGAATAATTGAACCAATTTATTCCTAACCTCGTACTTTGCACGTAAACATATATAGTTGTTTTTCTAATTAAAAACATTTATTTTTGCAGGTCATAGCATTCGATGAATTAAAGACTGGGTATAAAAATCCAATCGAACAGTGTAACAGCTTAAATCCGGTAAATCTCAACAAGTTTTTATAATACAACAATGTTTTATAACAATATATATTTGGAATGAAACTTTAATCATTGCAATTTCATATTTCAGCTAGTCATTCCAGAGTATAGTTTGCACATTTTGATTAATGTGTTATTTCTGATAAGTGGACAATGGTTTACATTGCTTCTTAATATCCCGTTAATAGCGTATCATTTATGGCAGTACAGTCATAGACCTGTCATGTCTAAACCAGGTCTTTATGATCCCACTAGTATAATGAATGCTCAGGTTTTGACATCTCACGAAAGGGAAGGATGGATTAAACTTGCGTTTTACCTCTTATCGTTTTTCTATTATTTGTACTGGTAAGTCTTTAATAGAAGATACATATATTAATATGTAACGTACACTTGCCTGTTTCCCATATGAAATTCACTTTAAAATAATATTCTATCGATAGCTCTAAAAATGTGAATCAAATTTTTTGCATAATTTCTATGTTTCAGCATGATCAGTTCATTGATCCAATGAACAAAACTATTTTTCTACTGCATTTGTAAGGACAATTTGCCATTGGGTCTTTAGTACGTTATAGTTCACAGATCCGATGTTTTCATCCAACCATGAAAAACAAGATTGACCAGTTTGTTAAAATATTACAGTTTTATAAAATAAAACTCTGCTCAAAAACTACTCTCTGTTTCTTTGTCATACTAATTAAAAGGATAATAGCAAGATAATTGAACAGAACAATAATGCTTGTATATTATTTATAGTACATTAAAAGTATTTTGTTTTATTTTCGTTACATTGGCGTGGTCACAAATATGAGTGATTCACTCTCAAAATGTAATTTAGTTTAATGACAAAATTCGTGGACTACCAGACATCAATTTATGTACTGTGTACTTATTGTTAGTTCATAATTATTGACATTAAATATTTTGTATTCATTACTATTCATGTATTTACAGTTTTATGCTTTGGTGTTTATATATTCTTAGACTTTTTGCTTTTATTTTAGTATTATAGTATTCGAAGAATAAGGATATTGATTCAAGCTTATATAGGTATGTATAATAAGTACTATGTTATATATTATAGCGAATGTGATTCTTGGTGATTCTAACCTCAATAAAATTTCTCTCATTCATTGTCGCTCAGCTCGGTCGCTGCTGTGTGTATATAGTTGATGGTCTGCTGTCCGAACATTTTCGAGTATTATCTTTAACGATACGTGAATTTGTTTATGAAATAAAATAGTCTTTACGAATTCGTGTCGCATTAAATATTAAGCCAGTTGTATATAATATAAAAAATGCCGACTATTAATCTCAAACGTGACTTATTGTTCAAGGCTCTTGGCAGAACGTATTGTAAGTTATGAATGATTGTACATAATTGCAACTATCCAGCTTATCATTTTTGTATCATCTATGTTTTTTACTTAATATATTAGTGTTTAAACATAACACTTGCAACCTATTTAAGATGATACAATTTCAGCGGACAATGAGTTTCAAGATTTGTGCTTCAAATTTGGTTTAGAATTAGACGAAGTGGTATGTATCTTCGAAATTTGTCAATTTATTTATCGATATATGTAGAGGATAAAAGTAGATATACTTTGGCATACATTATATACCTACATTAATAAAATGTAAACTTTTAGACATCAGAGAAGTTATTAATAACGAAGGAGAAAGGACAAAATGGAAATATGGAAGCATCTGATGAAATTATATATAAAATTGATATACCAGCAAACAGATACGATTTATTATGCTTGGAAGGTTTAACTCTTGGGCTACTCATATTTTTAAACAAGTATGTATAATTGTCACACTGATAATTAATTCGTACATATAAGGACTCCTTGTTGAAACTTTTATCTTATATTCTCTCTTTTTTCAAATGTTTTCATATAGAATAGACATACCACATTACGTATCGATACGCCCAGGTACAGGCATGCAGAAGATTACCATGACAAGCGAGGTACTTGGAAATTAATTTGATTATAAAAACAAATAATTGAATTATAAAACAATGTATTAGTGAAATATTTGCATCATATTGCAGTGCCTGAAAATCAGAGGACATATAGTTGCAGCTATTCTGCGTGATGTTACATTTACGCAAGACTCTTACAATAGTTTTATCGATCTCCAAGACAAACTTCATCAGAACATAGGAAGAAAACGAAGTTTGGTATCGATTGGTACTCATGATTTGGATAGTATTCAAGGTCCATTTTTATATGACGCGAAACCGCCAACCAATATTTGTTTCAAACCGCTTAATCAGGATAAAGAGTACACAGGAGAAGAAATTATGAACTTATATTCTGTGGGTGTTTTTGAACAAAATTTAATTTAATTTAGACAAGACTTTTCCATTGACAAACGTTTTTCAGAATCATGCACAATTAAAACAATACCTACACATCATAAAAGATAGTCCAGTTTATCCAATAGTGCAAGATAGCAATGGAACTATTTTATCCCTTCCACCTATTATCAATGGAGATCATTCAAAAATCACACTCAACACTAAAAATGTATTTATTGAATGTACAGCGATAAATCTTACAAAGGTAAAAGTAAAAGAATACATAATAGAATCGAGAACAATATTAACTAAAAATATGTATCTACTGATTTATAGGCGATAATAGTGCTGGACACTATAGTCTGTATGTTTAGTCAATATTGTAAAACAAAATATACAGTAGAAACGGTGGAAGTCGTATATCCCAATAATCAAGTATTTCACTATCCCGATTTAAAATATCGAACCGAAGAAATTGATTGTGAGAAAGCTGTAAAGTATATCGGCATAAAACAGAGAGCAGAAAAAGTAGCCAATCTACTTTCTAGAATGTCGTTAAAAACACGTGTTGTGAAGGATAACAATAAATTGAGTGTCGAAGTACCTCCCACTAGACACGATGTGATACATTCGTGCGACATTTACGAAGATATTGCGATAGCGTATGGATACAATAATATTCATAAAACTATACCATACTTATCCACGATCGCGGAGGAGGTAAGAATAAATTTAATTATTTTTAAAATTTACGACGTCATCTTTTCTTCTTTTGCATTTAAAACTTAGTTCCCACTTAATAAATTATCCGATCAATTACGTATGGAATTAGCTTGTGCTGGATTTACGGAAGCATTGACTTTTTCATTGGTAAGCAATATTTTCAGCAACCTTAATTGTATTCGTTTATAAATACTTGAATGATTTTTTTGTAGTGTTCGCGCGAAGATATAGCGGATAAATTGGGTCATAAATTGGAAAATATACCTGCAGTTCATATATCAAATCCGAAAACTTTAGAATTTCAGGTAGAAGAATTTTATTGGAAAGATGTCATTTTACAAGCTTTAGTGTTACACATTGTATGATAATATTGCAGGTAGCGCGTACAACCCTCCTGCCAGGATTATTGAAAACGCTAGCTGCGAATAAAAAGATGCCTCTTCCTCAGAAAGTGTTTGAAGTTTCCGATATAGTATTAAGAGATAATACTGTGGAAGTAGGCGCGCGTAATAAACGTCATTTGTGCGCGGTGTATTGTAATAAATCAGATGGTTTTGAAATAATTCACGGTTTATTGGACAGAATGTTACAGGTATTAGAAATACCGTGGAGCGTTGGCGAAAACTCAGATGGGTATTATCTTCGCGCTATCAATGGTAAGCGCGTTATTTTATTAGGGAAGTTAGGTGACAGTGCGTAGAAACGCAAGTTTGTTACTTGGTCTGCGTGCTTCACTTAATATGAATCTTTTCAGATCCCACTTTCTTCCCTCATCGTTGCGCAGAAATTTATTGTTATAACAAAGTGATCGGAAAAATGGGCGTTCTACACCCGGATGTAATCACAAAGTTCGATCTAAATGTACCCTGCTCCGTATTAGAGATCGAAATTGAATCATTTTTATAATGTGAAATGATTTGTTATTTATTAAACACTTAAATAAACAATGAATTCTTCGAACAGTCTGGTTTTATTGTGCGAAATGAATAATTAAGAAAATGCAAACATTACAATCAGATATGTTACAGTGTATCAGAATAACGGTAGGAGACTATGGAAACACGTTAAATATATTTAATCATGTTAAACAATTTTATTTTAAGTAAATTTTAAGTTCTATTTTACAGGAGTAAAGCATAGTCGAGCAACTTTCAACATAAGTTTTATTTTGTGTGTTATACATACGCGAGAATTTAAATTATAATTCGTTAATATATTCCTATATAAAAAGGACACATTAATTATATTTGTTAAAGAAGAAATAATAAAGTAAAAGAAACTGGAATAAAGGTAAATCGTACGTCGCATCGTTCCAAGTTTCTTCCAAACTTTCCCACATTACTTTCGAACAAATCAATGTTATTATCAGTATTTTTACAAATAGAAAAAGGCCAGTAGGGTCAAATTTTGACCAATAGCGATAGTTTCTATTGGATAATAATATCGAAGGAAGCAAATGCACGAGTGTTTTAAAACTGCAAATCGAAGTTACCCGCCACGGGAAACGAAAGATGGCTCGTCGAATCGCATGAAATTATATAGATGGTCAAAGAGGCATCCGGGAGTCTCGGTGTCGGCCATAGTAGAAATGGCGGGTGTTAGCTTACGTGAATGACGGCGATCGTGCTCGAGATTATTATCGAAAAGCAAGTGTTCTGTGTGTGTTTCGCGACACGGGAACGATACCTCAGTATCATATGATTCATCTGGAAGGTAAAGATGCAGAATGTAGCACAAGGAACGACCTCGGATAGTCAGAAGCACGAAAAATCAGCAAGCGTTCACCACGACATTGGAAAGACGTCGTCGACTCCCCAGTCTTCGAACTCCAGTCCCACGAAGTCAGAGACCGAGACCTTCTCCGAGCTGCAGCCACGCTTTATGGCAGACTCGTCGGAGAGCGAGGAGGACAGTGTTTCAGAGGTAAACCATGTCAAAAAACATGCCACGTCGTGGATAAAGATATTTTCTGCGATGAGAGGTTGAACGCACGCATGTACGCACGTATACGCACTATACACGCACGCACACGTACGAAAATCCGTCCGTCGCTTCTGCGTTCGTCCCGTCCAGTCACCGCACACACACACACACAAACACCCCTCCCTCCCTCTCAACCCCCTTTCCCTTCCGCCCTTATCTGGCGTTCTTCTTCTTTCTTATATACAAAGTTCGCTTGCTCGCTCTTACCTGCCTTCCGTACTTGTAGTTGTGGTGGTATATGAATGCGTCGTGTGTATATGCGAACAGAGCACCTACATCGCGCGCGCGCGCGCGCACACACACGCACACACACACACCAGCTTTCGATGAAATCTACTCGCGATCGATGTTGATCTTGTTCGACATTTTCTTATTTCTTCGCAATCTCTTTGGTGCAATTTCGTCGTTGGAATCATCGTTCTCTGTGCTCCTAAGTACGCGTATTAGATGCGGCGATACGTAGATACGATGAGTTGTCAATCTATTAATTATTATCGTTGGTATTTGAACCGTTTTAATTGTAATTTTCAATGTCCTGTTTACACTGAGATACGTGAATACGTGAATAGAATCGTGATAAAGATTGCTTGGAGAAGAAAGAAGTCGTTCCGCGAGTTGTCGTTACGGGGAAATTGGAACGAAACGTATCGTTGGTCTGTAAAAATCAACAGAAAACTATGTCATACCGTTCAGCGCTTTGTAATCGTATATGCTGTTGGTGAACAAGGCTGACAAGCGATCAAATAGAAAGATTCAGAGTCTTCTTGCAAAGTTCTAATTTGACAACGATCGCAGGATGTTGGCAACATAACCATTAAACGACTAATAGACAATCGAAACGAATTTTACGTAGATGTTTTTTAAAATAAAGGAATGGAAGGAACAAGAAGGGAATTCACGCAGGGACGTTATATAATCGGGATGTATGCGTTAATAGCTGATGGAACGTCAGCGTAGAGTCCGCGCGCAACACAGTTTCAAGAAATGTCCTCCAATTTCTCGGAATGTGCTTATTATTTTTCGTCAATTCTTTGATCTCATCGATCTATCATTCTGGATCTCGTTGTAAGTCTGTTGTCTGGCCAGTGTCGTTCGATATCGAATAAAAAGCGATTATTTATTGCAGGTATACCGAGACCTCGGCATCTAAAGAATATGTGTAACATTTTTCGTGTGTCATAGCTTCGCATGCCCTATGAACGAACACGTACAAGCGCTGGGTAAAGAACTCCGGTTAGCTGTACTGCATAATCAAGCGCGTGCGCACGCACGTGTACGCCTGTGTACACGTATATGTTTATAGAAGCAGCATTTATGCATGTATACGCACACGCACGTTTCCACGTATGTATTATACGTATATCCAGTGGCGGATCTAAACCTATCAGCGCCCGAAAGAAATGAAGCCTCCTCGGTTACTTCAACGGGCTCTTTCTTTTTCTCAATTGTTTTGTGAAAGACAAGTGTTATTATCACGAAGATGTGTTTACCAATTAGTTCTCAATTAGTCGAATAGTTTTCTCCTTAATACATTGTCGTCGTTATAGACTCGCAACAATCGTCATACAACGTTTATGGATCGTTAAGTTGGTTAGTTACTTTTTAGATATTCGATCCTGAGAATTGTAAGATGAATAACGTGTTCAAAACTTGGGATACTTAAACTTGGAAAAATCGAAAAGGGAAATACGTTAAAAATAGAAAAATGCGAACGACCATCTTGCGCTCGTCGTTTTTTAAAGTTATAAAAATGGTATTGGATAGAGGAAAATTGCATATGTAAATTTTAGTAAAAAAATGTTGTGTTTTTGTTCAATTTCTTGTTGAAATGTATTTTTATTGTTAATGATAAGCTTGTAAATGTTTCGGATAAACTTTGGAAAAAGTTATCAAGTTATTTACACAAGTAAAATTATAATCGATGCTTGCAAAGTGGAAAAACTAAATTAAATATGCAGGTAGTTGGTACAAGTACTGTTTAAGATAGTATGTTTCATTTGTGGGAATAGGTCTTTTTCGGTACAGAAAAATTAGATTTGGATAAGTAGTAGGATACAAATTATAATTGATTTTTTGTATCATTGTTCTAGATCAAGGTTCGTCAAACATTTTGGTTTTGCAGGCCAAAAAGGTAATATCAAGAAGACTGTCTAAATAATTGTGTGCAAGGTGGAGAATAAAAATAGAATAATTGCTGCACAATATAAGGAGGATTCTTTTTATGAAACTAATTAAACTATCATTAAACTAATTTGTGGTTGCTTATTGAATAAGAAAATGCTTGGAAATGCTTTCACATGGATAGGTAATGCCAAATGTTCCAATTAATCTATGCGAGTCCAGTCGCAACAAATAGGGAAAGATACGAGGATCGAAAGAGCAATTTTGCATCTCTGTTGGAAAATTCATATGAAAATGTTTCTCGGTTTGTTTTGATTATAGTTTGTCAACCTCTGTTCTAGATTATAATTTCATATAATGAATTTGTACCATGTTTAACATATACAAAATATCAAATTGTTACTACAATCGATTTTATTATATCCTTTTGATACACGCAAGATTCTTTTTAATCCAAGAGGTTAGAGAGAGAGAGAGAGGGAGAGAGAGAGAGAGAGAGAGAGAGAGAGAGAGAGAGAGAGAGAGAGAGATGAAAAAAGAATTCTCCTTTCCAAAAAAGTGTGCTTGACAATCGTAGCTAAAGCAGAGGTCGAAACGTATATTATTCCAAGTAATAATACTTGTACCAGTCACCTGTGTATACAATTTGGTTATTTACACAGACCACGCTGTTTTTTCGGAACAATTATTTGAAAGATCCATGAAATATAAAGAGTTAGTTTGGAGCCCCGAAGTGGAGGCTTAGTTTCACGAATAGATTCAGCCCTGCGTATATCTTTTCCACTGCGCTAGTAAACTCGCGTGTAGTAGATTGGCGGGCGCGCGCGTGTCCGTGCGTGTGCTCTGTGGCTGTACTCTCTGTATACGTATTTGTGTGTGCGCGCGAGTATTTTACGTCCGCTTGCACTACGTCGTGCGCCACCCAGCGGAGTTCTCCTCGGCCGCGTTTCCTCGCGTATTCGTGCGAGTTCGTGAGCCTGTTTGCTCCTCGGGTCGTCTTTACCTACGTTCTCTCTACGTTCATAGGTGTATTTCTACCTTTATCCTAACCGCCTATCTTGTTGTCCGTGGTACTGTCAACGAGCCGTTCCAGCTCTATCTTTGCCTCCGTCTCTACCGGTTGCTCAGCTCTCCCCCGTGTCCCGTGTCGCTCGTGTTCGTGGCGTGGAAATTGCTGAGAGCAGAGCCACCATATTATTCTATATTCTGCCAGGCAGCGGTTGTACGGAGCTATTTTTTTCTCCCCGCGATTTTTTTTTTGGTGCGACCGATTACATTAGTCAATACGACGTTAGTTACGCGCCCAGTGGATAATACGCGACGATTTCTCTTTGCTCGTGAATTATTTGAAAAATAAATTGAAAAAAAAAAAAACAAACGAGACGCGTAGGTACGCACGCAAGAGAGTATAGCGAGGAAGTGTCAGTTTCGTCCTTCTTGGAATGGCTGCACATTGTTCTTATGTCTCTATGTTCACTGGCAAGCGGTTTTAGTCGTTTAGAGAAGACGCGATACTTTCACCTCTCTTCTGATTTGCGTTTATGTCTCATCGGTTTCCACTCGTCGCGCGAGAGGATATGACCTCTACGCGAGATGTACGTACGATAATTTAGATTATGTGGAATTCTTCACTTGCTTTTTAGAACAAGTTTGAGACTCACGACCGTAAGATTAGCAGTAGCACATACACCAAGGATGCTTTCTTTCTCTGTTACTTTGTCCGAAACGCATCGCGTGCAACCTTTTATCTAATTCACATTCTTTGTTCTTTTTTTTTTTTGCATTGTTCGATTGATCGCATTTCCTTAGTAATAATTTCATTAATTTTTGCTAACAGTTTCTGATAATTGCTTGTTCATTGCGCGATATTTTTGTCCAACGAAATAACCTCAATTTTGGTAAAATGCTCGCTTTTATCTTTTATGTTAAACCTTTACGACTCAATCTTCTTTGAGTATTACGAGGACTATTGTTTTTGTATGGATCAAGCCTAGTTATAATATCTCTTATGATATCTAAATATTTTGTTCCTTAATATTTTGTCTGTTGGTCATCCATAAACACTGAAGCGACTCTGCGGTTCTTTGGTTACGTTGTACAGTGCTTTTGTGTATTTTCTGCAAATAATCTTTAAGAAATAAAAATAGTTTATTGTTTCGTATCTTTTGATGCATCGTGTATATGTATATATAAAGTAATAGAGCATTCCTGGAATGATGATATTACATTGCCTTTGTAGCCATAATTGTGAAAGAAACTAAGAAGAAAGTAATTGTTGCATATCGTTATTGTACAACTTTTCAAGTATAAACAAATTATACTCGTATTAACATACGATCCTATCTTATACATCGGTCTTACATGTATACTGAAATAATATATTTAAATTACAATTTTGTATAAAATCTATGTATCTTATTTAATTTCATTTCAAGCAATGTTACTTTATTTATAGGTGGAGTGTTTTGCGATTGATCAGGTTGAATTAGACGAAGGTCATCATTTAGAATCGTCCAAGTTTCTATTGACTCCTGAAGATCCAGAGAGATCCGTGGATCCTGAAACTCAGGCACGGTTAGAAGCTTTGCTGGAAGCAGCTGGTATCGGCAAGTTGTCGTCAGGCGATGGGAAGCACTTGGCTGATCACGAAGTGCTCCGTCGCTTAACATCTAGTGTTTCTTGTGCATTAGATGAAGCAGCAGCTGCATTAACTCGTATGCGCAGCGATAATCCACGCACACAAAACGAAAAACGCTCTCTTGTAGAGGCTTGCACCGACGGCGACGTTGGTACTGTTAGGAAATTATTAACGGAAGGACGCAGTGTACACGAGACTACAGAGGAGGGAGAGAGTTTGCTCTCTCTCGCCTGCTCGGCTGGTTACTACGAACTTGCTCAGGTTTGAGCTTTTTTCCATATTTCGTTTGCATTTTCAATATTTATAGGAGAGTATAAGCACATGTTGTGCATACAAGTTAAAATACCATATAGTCCATATACAAGATGGTTATTACCTATTTCAAAAATATTTTATGTAAATATTCGTATTTTCTATATTACCAAAGAATAGACTTATATTATATCGCTTGTATACTGTTTCGAGCAAGTACAAAGGAACGCTGGGTACTATTTTGATATTTGCTGCAAGAAATATCTATTAAGACGCTCGTGAAAATTTTATATGATTAATTTGCATGGAGTTTAACGTTTATTAAATAAAGTTATACTACTTTACATTCTTCTGTTTCATAAAGAGAAAGCGAAACGTGTAACTTCTCTTAGTTGTAAATGTTATAACTAATGCGTAATTTTTGTTAATTCCAGCGATAAAATTATTTTATTTCACGAATAACTTGTTGTACAAACAGGTACTTTTGGCAATGAATGCAAACGTAGAGGACCGTGGCATAAAGGGGGATTGTACCCCTTTAATGGAGGCCGCCAGTGCAGGGCATGTAGATGTTGTAAGCTTGCTTATCGCTCATGGATCTGATGTTAATGCTCAATCTACTTCAGGTATGAAATACAACTATACTAATCATAAGAATATCATACTAACGGTAATGGTTTAGAACCCAAGTAATTTGTTATATCTTCAGGTAATACACCCCTTATGTACGGCTGTGCGGGTGGTCACGAAGAGGTAGTGCGAGTATTGTTAGAAGCAGGTGCGAATGTTGAAGATCATAATGAGAATGGTCATACACCGTTAATGGAAGCAGCCAGTGCTGGACATGTCCCAGTAGCCAAGATCTTACTAGAACATGGCGCCGGAATTAATACTCATTCCAATGAATTCAAAGAATCCGCTCTAACACTGGCTTGCTATAAAGGACATCTCGAAATGGTTCGCTTTCTGCTAGAAGCTGGTGCAGACCAGGTATTTTTCCAATGTGGTTCATTTTATTTCTTAGAAGCCATGTTTTAAAGATGAGCAAATCTTATTCGTATAGGTCGTTCACCTTTAATTCGTCATTTGAAGTTTGTATAAAATCTTTCATTTTGCAGGAGCACAAAACTGATGAAATGCACACTGCCCTTATGGAAGCATCGATGGATGGTCACGTAGAAGTAGCTCGTTTACTCTTAGATTCGGGTGCGCAGGTGAATATGCCAACGGATAGTTTCGAATCTCCGTTAACGTTAGCTGCTTGCGGAGGTCACGTTGATCTTGCTATGCTTTTGATCGAGAGAGGAGCAAATATCGAGGAAGTGAATGACGAAGGTTATACTCCGTTGATGGAAGCGGCGCGTGAGGGTCACGAAGAAATGGTTGCATTACTTCTAAGTCAAGGTATCGCGTCGGTCGATATTTCGTTACAACGAACGAGAAACGTTGCGATTACGTAACAAATAGTTCAACATGATCTTTGTGTGTTCCGATACAGGAGCAAATATCAATGCACAAACGGAGGAAACGCAAGAAACAGCCCTTACCTTAGCTTGTTGCGGTGGCTTTTTAGAAGTCGCTGACTTTCTAATTAAAGCAGGAGCCGATATCGAATTGGGGGCCTCTACCCCTCTGATGGAAGCTGCGCAAGAGGGCCATTTGGATCTCGTTCGATATTTACTCGAATCTGCGGCGGACGTTCATACTCAAACGCAAACGGGAGATACAGCGTTAACGTATGCGTGTGAGAATGGCCATACGGATGTCGCGGATCTTTTACTTCAGTTTGGTGCTGACTTGGTACGTGTTTGATACGAATGACGTTTAAAGAATATTTAATGGTGAGTCGATATATTTACGCGAGTCCTATCACCTTTTTTTATGTAAATATATAGGAGCACGAATCGGAAGGAGGCAGAACACCGCTGATGAAGGCATGCAGAGCTGGTCACCTCTGTACGGTTCAATTTCTTATATCGAAACATGCAGATGTTAATAGACAAACGACGAACAACGATCATACTCCTCTTTCGTTGGCCTGTGCTGGTGGCCATCTCGCAGTTGTGGAACTTTTGCTTGCACAGTCTGCAAATCCATTTCATAAACTGAAGGTATGAATAATAATTTTTATTTAAAATATTACTATTCAAAATATCTACCAACAATGAAGACAATAAGCTTCATGTTTTCTCGTTATAGGATAATTCTACAATGTTAATAGAAGCTGCGAAAGGTGGACATACCAGCGTAGTTCAACTTCTATTAGATTATCCCCATAGTATTATGATGAGTGCGCCACATAATGCAGCTCCTGCACCCATGTTGCTTCCTCAACAACAACAACAACAACAACAACAACAGCAGCAGCAGCAGCAGCAGCAGCAACCGCAACAGCAGCAGCAGCAGCAGCAGCAGCAGCAGCAGCATATAACGCACCAACAGCATATACCCCATCAACAACAAGCATCCACCACGCAATCGCAACATCAGCAGCAACAACAACATGCTGCGGAACAATCGCAGACGCAAAATCTTCAACCTAAACATAATACGCAAAAATCGTTGTTAAGAAAGAATCGATCAGTAACCATGACGCCCGATATGAGTCTCACTTCCGCTGAGGCGCAACAAGTTCGTTCTCAGCCCGCAGGAGAATCAATTGTAGCAACTAAAGACGATACTAATATACTGGATAAAGGCAGCGGAGGATTTACTAACCTTTCAGAACCTAATATTAGCCTTAGTCCTGCTCCTGCGCCAACGCCAGGATTAAATGTCTCGGAAAGTCGAAAGAATACTCGGCAAGAGCAAATTCTACATAAGCAACAAATTCTCGAAGAACTACAAGCAAGTGTTTTTTCAAATTAATTTCATCGTGAACCTCTTGCTGAATGATGTTTAATAATGCGAATTCTGAATATTTTAGAGGGTAGAGAGAGAGCTCCAAATTAAGGGTGCTGGCCATTTGTTTTCCGGTTCGAGGAATTCCGTCGTAACTCAGCAGCAGCAGCAGCAGCAGCAGCAGCAACAGCCGGAAGAAGCCAGCGAACCAGATACGTTGTCACCAGGTATGTCGAACGTTGTTTCGCGAGACTCCTCTCTAACGATAATCGCGTTTGCGTAAAATATTTCTTAATAGTAATATTTTTCATCGAAAGGTTTAGTTTGCAGTACGACTGGTATGTCCGGAAATTCTTTAACTCATCAAGGTACCAGTCAGGCAATGTCGCTGTATTATAACGCTTTTCTCAGAGGAAAACGAATGGCACAAGAAACTCAATTGTCTTTACCTCCCGAAATTTTTCCTACAACAAATCCACTTTCTCTTGCAACGATACCTGTTACGTCGTCCGTTCCGCTGGTCACCTCTAATACGTCTTCGACGACTACGCCGACTCCTCCAAGCATATCTACACCACCTACCGTTATGGCTGTTTCCCAACCTATTACCGCGAGTAGCGACGTCAGCCAAAACACCGCCATAAGCGATCGTCCGAAAGCAAAGCCCGTCTCTAAAAAAGAGGGTAAAAATATTCGGAAGGCTACGTCTAGCGTAGTAGGCGGTAAACTGCAGCAGCAGCAACAACAGGCGACCTTGATGGCTGGTCTTCAACAACAATATCAGCAGAAACAACGACAACATACCTATCAAGTTCAACAGGTACATCAGCTGCAGCAACTCAATCAACAGCTTCAGTTACAGTTGGATCAAGTACAGGTTTGTTCTTTTGTACATTTGTCGTTTGCCTTTATCAACATATTTTGGTTTCAAGCGGGACATTATTATACGATGTTACACCACTTAACCATCCTATTTTTTTTATACTTTCAAATGTCTATGAATCTTATTTAAAGCCGATATATTGTATGTAAGGCATATGTAACGAGATATAATAATATAATGCGTTAGGGTATTGGATATAAAAGTTATATCTAGGGAAAACGTAATGATAATGTACTTCGTAAGCAAAAAACAAGCACTTCGTGTATAACTAGGTACAGCAACAGCAACAACAGCAGCAGCAACCACAGCAACAGCCGCAAGGCCAACAACAACCGTTACAATCGCAGTCTCAACAACAGACTGGAGCAGTTGCTGCTAATGGAAACAACATACTTATGCCTACCCAGTTGATGTCGCATCTCCATCCTACGCATACTCATCATCTTCACGACCAGGTAATTGTAGGAATAAAATAGGCCTAGGAATAAAATAAACATGGACATTTTTTTATTCTTGTAAATTACATATGCAGCAAACGACTCAACAAAATCTAACGGAACAGACAGATCCTGAGTTAGCAAGACTGCATCGGGACGGAGCCTGCCCCTTTGTCGCTGCTGCTCAAAAAGCAAAGACACTCTGCACTAGCGAAAGCGTTATAAAATTGGAAGACGGCACGCATATTCCTCTCGACGACGCTTTCGAAATTTTTCGATCTATTAGTTTCGATGATACTGTCGATGGTAAATATCCAAATGATTCCCTGTCGATTCTTCTTTTCAATTCGTATAGTTTATTTTGAAACATTTCGTGGTTAAGTAGCAACGGAAGATCAAGAGAAACTCGAATTAAAAAGATTGGAAGTATCGAATAGTAAGGATCCACAGCAACCGCAACCGCAACAGCAACAGCAACAGCAACAGCAACAGCAACAACAACAACAACAACAACATTTACAAACCACGCAAATTGTTCAACAGACGACCAGTCCTTATACATCTCAAGAATATTTTACCAATCCCGTATTGTCGGTACCATCTGTTTCGTTGCCGACCTTGCCTTCGCTCCAAGTAACCAGTGCTGGTGTTCAAATACAAGCAGACATATCAGCAGGTTTACAGTTAACCAGTACCCAGTCTCTACAAAATCAAGCATTTAAAGACTTAAAAGCGTATCAAGAAGGATATCTCGAGGGACTTCGCCATTTTCAACCTCAATTGTTACTTCAGTCTTCTCAGATAAGTAAGTGTCGTAAATACAAGTGATTCGTATTTGAAATATCGAATTTTCTTCATACAAACGTATTTTATTTGCAAGCAGCATTTCCTACGCAAGCTTTACCAACTGTAACCGAAGCGACAGGAATAATAGATAGCATACCTCATCAAACAAACGGTTACGTGCAATCGACAGCCTGTAGCACTAATCAAGTTCAAGTGGCTACTCAGACCCAAGCTCCAGCAACGACTACCGCTGCGACTATAGTTGCTTCGGATAAAAAACAAGTTTACACCGCTCCAACGACCGGTAAAGGCAAAAAGGGAAGATATCCGCTTTTGTCTCAACAACAACAACAATCATGCCAACAACAACAAACTGCCAATACCCAGCAGCAGGCACCTAATTTTCCCAGTCAAAATTATCAATTAGATCCAACCACAGGTGAGAGGTGCAGATCTATTAGTTGTTCATTAATACCAGACATATTGTTTTCATAATAAATGTTTATTTTAGTTGCTGGTCAATATACAACAGGTGTTCCGACGGTTGGTGGTTACACGACTAACCAAGTACCACCCGCGCCGTTTTCCTGTATGGATGTTGACTCGGAGACAGACAGCAATCACGATACAGCATTGACTTTGGCATGTGCTGGAGGTCACGAAGAACTTGTTGAACTCTTATTGAGTCGCGGTGCCGATATAGGTAACGTCTAATAAGTAAAGCTATATATATATATACATACATACATACTTATCGAGATATATTTTATTTTCCAGAGCATAGAGATAAAAAGGGGTTCACTCCGCTAATTTTAGCAGCAACGGCAGGACACCAGAAAGTAGTGGAGATTCTTTTGAATCACGGGGCTGATATAGAGGCCCAGTCTGAACGTACCAAGGATACGCCTCTATCTCTCGCTTGTAGCGGTGGCAGATACGAAGTGGTAGAGCTTCTGCTGAACCGTGGTGCCAACAAGGAACATCGTAACGTTTCCGACTACACACCTCTGAGTCTTGCAGCATCCGGTGGTTATGTTAACATAATAAAGCTTCTCCTTAATCATGGTGCTGAAATCAACTCCCGAACTGGCTCAAAATTGGGCATTTCGCCGCTCATGCTCGCCGCTATGAATGGTCATGTTGGTACGTCTATACACATTTTAAATAAAATTACTCTTAGCGTGTTAAACGTTAGGTATAATGATGTTTTAAATAAAAAATTGCAGCGGCGGTGAAACTGTTACTGGATATGGGCAGTGACATAAACGCTCAAATTGAGACTAATCGTAATACAGCGCTAACATTGGCGTGTTTTCAAGGAAGACACGAGGTCGTTAGCCTTCTTCTCGATCGTAAAGCCAACGTAGAACATCGTGCCAAGGTACGGATTAAATATTTACTCGCGCGCTATACAATATAAATCCTTAAACTAAGAAATGCATTAGAGTAACTAAATGTGTGTACTTATATATTTTCCATAGACTGGATTAACACCATTAATGGAAGCAGCTAGTGGAGGGTATGTCGAAGTCGGACGCGTCCTACTTACTAAAGGGGCAGATGTTAATGCTACGCCTGTTCCATCGTCCCGCGATACTGCCCTCACTATCGCTGCTGATAAAGGACACTGCCGTTTCGTAGAATTATTACTGTCGAGGTAGACGCTTGTTTGTTAATGTACCAAAGAATGTATGCTTATTCAAGATCCATTTTGTTTTCAGTAACATAAGACATGTTCTTTATCAATTTTATAGAGGTACTCAAGTAGAGGTGAAAAATAAAAAGGGAAACAGTCCGTTATGGTTAGCAGCAAACGGTGGACATTTGAACGTTGTCGACCTACTGTACCACGCTGGTGCGGACATCGATTCGCAGGATAATCGCAAGGTAAACCAGAATGCTAAAATTCAATTAACATGCATAGTAAAATATGTTTTTTCATAAATTATGTGATCTATATATAAAAAATATATATATACCAATTATCAAAGAGGACCCAAGTGGAGGGTAGAATCGTTTATTAAATAAGTAAGCTATGCTTGTTGAATCTGTACGATGACAAGCGAAACACATTTCTTGTAGGTGTCTTGTTTAATGGCTGCTTTTCGTAAGGGGCACATCAAAGTGGTTAAATGGATGGTAAATCACGTTACTCAGTTTCCCAGTGATCAAGAAATGACAAGGTATATAGCGACCGTCAGTGACAAAGAACTTTTAGAAAAATGCCAAGAGTGTGTAAAAGTTATTCGAGCTGCGAAAGAGACTCAAGCCGCAAAGGCGAATAAAAATGCGACTATATTATTGGAGGAACTCGATATGGAGAAGACCAGGGAGGAATCGAAAAAAGCAGCTGCCGCTCGTAGACGAGAACGAAAGAAGAAAAAGAAACTCGAAAAGAAAGAAGAGAAACGAAAATTGCATGAGGAATACAAGAAAAGTGAAGGAACTTACGAGGACAAGGAGGAAAGCGGAAAGAAGTCAGGCGACGAAGAATGCGACAGGGCGGACGATAGCGAACATGAAACTGGCGACGGTTGCGAAAGAATGGATAGCATGCCATCGCCAGTTAATAGAAGCCCTGAGGGACCTGACAGAGAGGAAGGCGACAGTGGAATCGATGCAAACAGTCAAGGCAGCTGTAGTAGCAACGATGTCAAAGCTAGAGAAAAAAAGAAAGAGAAGAAAAAAAAGAAAACAAACAGTCCTAGCAATAACGAAAAGGATACGTCTCCCCAAAGATCGCCCAAGTCCGTGATCGCTCAAAGCGCTTCTTTGTCTCAAAGTTCCATTACGCCAACCAAATCTCAAACCAATACCTCTGAGAAGTAAGTTGGAACAATTATAATAAAGGGTGGGTATCGAGAATGGCAGTTTCCTATTTGCATTAATAATATTTATGATTTTCATAAAATATATCTATATATCATACATTTTGAAACAAATAATTAATACATAACTATTACGCAATCAGTATCGATACTCATCCTTTACAGATGACACATTCTTTACAGACGTTTGTGCAACGATCTTAATTTTTAGGAGAACCATGACTAATGTCACCAACGGAGTATCCGTGCCCACCACTTCTATTACGGCGAGCACCAGATCCTCGACTGTTAATTGTGGTGAACGTAAATTAAAAGGTCAACTGGTGTTTGAGTCTTCGAGACATCCAGCCGATAGGGAAGATTTCGAAGCAACCGGAAACGAAACGTATATGCCTGGCAAAGGCAAGAAATCTTACACTAATCAATACGATGGAGATGCATTGAACACTTCTACCAAGTTGAACACTACAACTAGTCCCAAGCAGGGTGGCAAGCGTGAAGAAGGTTGGAAGGAAGTTGTGCGAAAGTAAGAAATTGCAATTTTATTTTATAATATATTCTTTCTTTCTTTTCTTTTTTTAATTCTTTTGTATATTTATTACGTTTTGGTCTAATGGTAAACAAATTGATAAATAAACAAAATAAAAACCCTTCTGAAATAGGGGGCAATCCGATGATTCGGGGAGATTTATGAATTCACCATTCCGTTCGAAGAAAGTTTCTGTTCCACCGAATGCTATTAGTCGGGTCATTGGGAGAGGTGGCAGTAATATAAATGCTATTAGAGGCGCAACAGGAGCGCATATCGAAGTAGAGAAACAAAGCAAATGTCAAGGCGAACGAATCATTACTATCAAGTATGTGCTCGATCGTTTCATTCTTTCTCGAATAACTCAAATAAATCACATTCCTCTTGTATTGTTATTTTCAGAGGGTCATCCGACGCGACAAAACAGGCTCATACGTTAATAGCAGCTCTTATTAAAGATCCGGACGTTGATATATTGCAAATGCTTCCGAAATCGAAACTAACAGTCGTCACGACTTCCTCTTGGGATAAGACCATTTCTACCGTAGCCGTAAGATCGAACAAAATAAATAAATTGCTGAGATTTTAACACGGTGAATCTGTTTTGTAACCAAACATATGTTTTTTCATTTTAGTCGAGTAAAGCAAAGTTGGGTCCTGTAAGTAAACCACCTAGTCTAACGTCAAATTCCAATAGTACGCAAATTAATAAATCTAGTTACCCGTCGGGAGTTTCCACCGTCAATCAGTTGATTCCACTCCGATCGTCGTCTACCATTAAACTTGCTGGAGCATTTCCCACACCCCTGCCACGTGCAACCGCACCTAGACTCGTCGCTGCAGGTAGTGTATAATATACATCTCCTATATATTCCACTACTTTTTATAAATAATAGAATAAAATTTCGATTGCCTATAACACTTGTTTGTACGTAGCTGAAAAACGAGCTCAAGCTGTAGCCGCTCAAATGGCTTCGTCATCGAACACGAAGACGACGATGTCGTACACCAGCGCGATCATGACCGCTGGAAGAGCAACAAAAATCGTGACGACGAGCACCACGCAAACGTTCGCAGCGAAATTGTCCGAAATCACTGCCAACAGCCATACATCGACCACTGTGATGCAGTCCACGCATACCACGGTGAACAAACAGAAGTCGTTGCAAGCGAACACTGTTACCGTGATGTCAGCTACGGCTGCCGCAACGGCCCAGACCTCGTCTCAGCAGCCCATAGTCAGTACATCGCCGAAACACTGCCGACCACTGCCTACCTTGTCTGCCCCGCCAACAATGGTCTCGCATTACACTGGAAAATCTACTTACTCTCCCGGCTCGAACGCCGCGATATCGCCAGCAACGAGCACAGCGATCTCGTATTGTCCAGAGAGTTCGAACACCTCGACCTGCTCGAATTCGGTTCGAGTCAGCCCGTCGCCGCCAATTGTGTCGCAGTGTCAGCAGTTGCAACAGCAGCAGCAGCAACAACAACAACAACAACAACAACAACAACAACACCAACAGCAACAGCAAGTACGGAGCTCGACGCCAATCGCGTCTACGATTCAAGAACAACAACACCAACAGCAACAGCAACAGCAACAGCAACAGCAGCAGCAGCAGCAGCAGCAGCAGCAATCGAACAACACGCCTCTCGAATATTCCTTGTTCAACGACACCTTCACGAAAGTTACCCAACAGTCGATGTGGGGCGGTCGAGAAAACGATTCTCAGAAGGGAATGAACTTTGCGACGGTAGCTGGAGGTGGAGTCTCCGTGAACACGTCGGGCTCGTCATCGTCCAAATTCATTGATAGCGTGCCTCCTCAGGTTAGTATCGATTCTATAATGTATTTTGAGGAGCTGAAAAAATTGCTCCTGCGTAGAATTCTGATTCTCTAAGATATCAACAAGTAAGTATTGTACAATATGTATATTGTTTCAATTTTTTACGTATATCCAAACAGGTGGATGCATCAAAAGCTCCTGGATATCGAGGAACAACAATGTGCTCTCCAGTCTCGAGCAAGTCGAACAACACCACTAACACAAACGCGAACAATATGGGCAGCGTTGCGTCGTCGAACACAGGCCACAGTTCCATCCAGCCACCTCAATTCCAATCTTCTGGAAATTACAACGAGCATTCTCTCTCGAACAAGCCACCAGGTAGCCTAGCCGTGGCGCGACCGGTAATGCCTCAGCAAAACATGGAAATGGGGGCAGCTATGGGTGCGCAATTTAGCAGGCCAGTATTTCAAGGCGAATTGACATCGCGTAACGCCACGACGCATCAGCCGCACGTCATACCCTCTACGTCACAGCCAACGTTAGACGTGGGTTTGTTTAAAGCGAATAACGTCGGTTACGAACACCCGAACGTGAATTCCAGCTTACTAAAGATGGTGCCGAACGAAGGACAGGGTCACCCTCTTCTTCCCTTCCACCCCCATATGCAAAATTTCACCCAAACAATAGCAGCGCCATCCGCCTCGGTAAATACTACCGTCAGTATGTCGAGGTTAAATCCCAGAGCACCAGACTTTTCTAGCTCGCTGCATTTGAACAGCAAACCACAGGTGACGATGTTCAACGCCGGATCAGCGGCTGGAATACATCCAAACATGTTCGCGACGGTACCGCCACCACCTCCGTCCGCGATTCAATCCAACAATTTAGCTATGCTCGGCAACTTTCCCTTGGGAAAGTATCAAGCGCCATCACGAGCCACCCCTAACACTGGTATCTCCACCAACGGGCAAACGCGTTGGCCATTCGCTCCACCGCACAACAATTACCCACCTCACCAAGATCCCATGATGGGTCAAATAGGCTTCTCCAATCATTTGGCGAGTATAACCGCGCAACCTGGTAGCATCGATTTGATCACAAACTTGGAGAACGGCGGTTCGCCGGCAATATCACCATCCTCGCCGGCGGCGCACGTGGTTCAGGAGTTGGGTCAACTGAAAATAGAGGATCGCAAAGTGCCACGACCGATTGGTACGGAGAGAGCGTGGAAGAATTACGCTACGGCGGGCATGGGGCCTGGTGGAGACGCCGATTCCATCAATTGGATGCTGAATAACGAGAAACTGGTTGGATCGTGGGCAAACCTGGGGCCAGGCATCGACAGGCATCAGGTGTTTAGATCCAACGCTGCTTACAATCGTATATCCAATGTCGACGCGGAACTACACCAGATGATGGAATCCTCCTTTCAGGTATGCACTTCTTGTCGTTATGTTTCTCTCTACTAATCATCTGTACCTTACATTCACTACTACATATCACATATGTGTGATTCTTTTGAAATACCAACATTCCATCAAGCAAGTGTAATAGTACAAAGTGTCAGTTTGACAGTTAAAATAGTCTTTGTAATCTTTGGTGATATGTAATAACTCCTGCAACTTGTTCGTGTTCTTCTGGAATACAAATTATTATATCTATGGAAACACGGTATAAATATGATAGATTGACAATTATGTTCGACTTAGGGTCACGTGGACACTCAGCAACAACCGTTCCCTAACGGAAGCGCCGCAGCTCTGTCGCTAATGCCAGGATTGACGTTACTACCGGGACAGTTTGGAACGCCTGCGTTGACGGAAATCCCTCCAAACGAGCAGAACAAAATGGATCCACCCGCGTGGGGAATACCAGACGGTGTTCAAGATAAGCAACATCCGGTAAGTTGCATATTAGTCCGCTAACGAAAAGGTCTCGTTATGCAGAATCTATATCTGACATTTGTTCATTCTTTACACTGTAAGGACACCATTGGCGCGACTAATTTCTCCCTAAAATTCTCCAATTACCTCAAAAGTTACCTACGTGAAACTTTCCTCCTCGGTTTCTTTGAAACGTTCACGTGGATCATTTAACAATTTGATTGCAGGCATGGAATAAATGGACCCATTAAAAAGGAAGAAACTTTGCGAAAAGTAACACACTTGGCTTCTTTACCCGAGCGATACGATATAGAACCTGGAACTCAAAGTAGTGAATAGATGGAACTGGAATACGAAGCGTTGTTTCTAGCCACTTGAATTACTATCCTAATTATATTCATTAAAACACAAATTCGATATTATTTGTCATGCTAGGTGATAAGGCGGTAAATCCTTACTACAACTTATTGCTATTATCTAGTATAATTACGCGATCCAAATGATTACCGGACATGACATAAACAGAGTTCAACGAAACAAAAAAAAAAAAGGAAAAAATACATAGAACGGCAGAGCAGAACGGAGCAAAAATATTTGAATCGTTGGTCTCTCCGGGTTCGTCTTTTGTCTAACCTTCGGACACGCTGCTTCTGTGTACACCCAGGACCGTAACTCGAGGTCGACGATATCATAACTCGACTCAATGAAATGTTGACGACAGTTTATCAGACTTCTTCCTATCTTAATCGTTGCCGGATCGATTTGTCCCATTTACGAGAATTCAAATCTTAACGGTATTCGCTAGGCATTCGTGATAATAAATTCAAATACGCATACTACGTCGGCTTTAGCTTCACCCCCTTAGTATAGTAGTTCACTCGAATTAGAATTCCTCGCATCCTTGTTTTTACCTCCACATATTTCGCGTATCGAATTGAAAAAAAAAAAAGAAACGAATACTTTGTTTCAATTACGTACGCGAATTAGACACGAGAAGGCTTCGATTCGCCACATGGATAACCACCTCGAGTGTTAAATAGTACGTAACAACATTCAACAACAACAACAACAACAATAACAATAACAGGAATGAGTATATTATCGTAACGGAAGAAACAACTTTTGTGTTCGATGAAGGGTCGAATGAGATTACGGAAAAAAAGAAGGACATGGGGAAAATCGTCGAGACCCGGGAACCTCGTCGATTCCTTCTTCGCATTTTCGTGCGTCGTTTTTTCTCCCAGATCAAAATATTTCTACATTTCTTCGTGCTAGAACTCTCCAGTTCCAAATTGCATAGATCGTCGACATCCTTATGTCGACGGTGTTCCCATTGGAACGCGTAGAGAAATCAAATGTCTCGTATACGATTCGTGAAAACTCGATTGCGACGACTACGCATGAAAATTCTTTTGCTCGACGAGATACTACTCTTTCTCGCTTCTGGCGTTCTCCTACTTTTCTCTTCGATCTCGTCTTTCGTTGAAATTCACCGAACGCAAAAGACGCGGATACATTCATTGTCCACGTTGTTTGGAGGGTGGGTGGGGGTGGGGGTGGGGCGGGGGGAGAGACAGAAACGGAAAGAAGTTTAAAGACACTCGCATAAAATACGAGAAACACACATGGTTGCTTCTCGGACGAAACAACACGACCAGATATGAACATCGTTTGAATTATATGATCTAAAAATGAATAGAAAGAAGAAAAAAAAAACATGTTGGCACGAATTAACGCGCGCGCTGTACTAATAATACATTAAATATTATGTATACCGAATCCTATTCGATCAATGAATATTGTTCATTGTTAAACAGGTAGTGGGCCGCCGACACGTAAATATAACTCCGTGCGTCCCTAGCAACAGTGCTATTATAATACTATTATTGCTGTGGTGGTAATAATGTTTATTATATTATATTATGGTTATTATTACACAAGACGTAATTATAGGAAATGGAAGGTAAATAGAAAAAAAAACGTCACCTGCTGTTTCGGCTGGACTAGTACGATATAATTAAATATTCTAGATAAACACTCGATATACATACATAAGAAAAAAAATGTTCATTTCGATTGGACATTTGAAAATCTTTCTTGGCGGGGATTTCGACAAGTGTTCAATACACATAGCGACGATACTGTAATTGAAACGGTCCCCTACGCGTAAGTTTCGATGAAGCTCGTGGAAATTGTACTAGAGCTTTTGATCTATTATTCCAGGGAGCGCTTCAATTATTCTCTAAGATACGTTGTTATAATTTAAAGCCTATTTTCAAATTTGATTTATGATAATTCCGATATACAACACAAAACTATTATATGACATACAACAATAAAGCAAATAAATGAATAAATAAATAAACACAAGTTCCGTTTGTTACTTGATTTATTCGCAATTACTACACGACGATGAATGTATGTTTATGAACTGTTTGTTACTCTTCTACCAAAAGAACAAGAAGACGACTAATTTTATTTCTAGGAAAGCGAGGGAGGAAGATTAGGAGAAAGGTTTAGAGATTCGAATAGCTTGAAAGGATCAATTGCTTAGGGTTAATCCTGAGGAACCATTCTATAAGTTTTAATTAAGATATTAAATAGTTGATCAATTGATAAACATAACTTTGCATACCACTTTGACGCTCTTAAGGCTCAATTTAATTCTATTTTAAGCAAGCAATATTTTATTATAAATCAATAAAGAATCAAAACATTAAAACCATCCTTTCTTGTAATAATGCCTCCTAACAATTGTAAATTGGAGGCTCCTTCGAGTTATAAATCGACGCCTAACCATATTAGTTATTTTTCGTTTATTTTATTAGTTTATAATTTATATGATGTAAAATCTGTAACAAGGGCAAACAAGAAAATCATTATGGAGTATACAGGGTGTCCCAAAACTCGGGGAGGAGCCGAAAATGGGGGGTAGCTGAGACGATTCTGAACAACAATTTCCTTTGCAAAAATGTCGGATGGGGCTTCGTTAAGGAGATATTAAGCGAAAACCCCGACCAATCAGAGCGCG